GCTTTTTCGCGGGCACTCTCCATCAACGCTTGCGAAAGGATGGACTTCCTATATTCGTAAACGTCAACACAGGTACCCTGCGCATGTGACCCGCCTCTCCARCTGGTTCCGCAGCATGCTTCGATGGTCTATTCATCACCCGCTTTCTCGGGTATCTACACACTGTCCTCGGACTACGCCTGTCACAGCTCCTTCTTCATTATCGGCGCCTGTCACACCTATCACAGCCTCTTCTTCATTACCTGYGTCTGCCGCACCTGCGTCCTCATCAGTCTTAGTAACCCCTTCCATGCCGTTTGTGACCCTGGCTGCCCCTTTTCGGTTCGCAGCCTCTTCCTCATCGGCCTTGGTTGCTTCTACGATTGATTCCGCGGGAGCAACTCGACCCACAGCTGTTGTGTCGCCTTTGGTCTCGATGTGTTCCTCTGTGGCATCCGTGGCCACCGCAGCCGTTGTGTCGCCCTTGGTCTCGGTGTGTTTCTCCATGGCATCCGTGACCACCGCATATGTTGTGTCGCCCTTGGTCTCGGTGCGTTCCTCCATGGCATCCGTGGCCATGCCTGCAATACCACCTGCAGAGTCCCCTCTTCGGGTCTCACCTACGACTGGCCCCCCTGTCTCTGCTTCAGCCACTTCACCACCCCTGACTTCATCCCCCCCATCTTCACCGCTTTTATTTCCCCTGGTTTTATCGCCGTCTGTTACCCACCTTCCGACTACTCTACCACCCCTGTCTTCACCACTCCTACCTCCCCTGGTTTTGTCTCCATCCGTTACCCTTCTTCCTAACCCACAAACCACTTCGTCCACACAGACTCCGTCCTCATGTTCTGCCCCTGCAGAAAGCCTACTTCGCCGTCCTAGATGCCGACTTCGACCTACTTCCCAACCTCAGCTTACTCCCCTTTCCTCCATCTCTGTTCTTGGAYGAAGAAGAACCCGTTCAKTCTCCCCACCACGGCCCTYCCCAACATCYCGTCCCCGTCTTTTGCCGCCCCAAGCATCCTTACCACGCCTGCAACGCTCTTCGACTGCAGACCTTTCTGCAACGCGGCAAACACAAAACGGGAGGGATGATGGCGAGGGACCATCTGAGGATGAACTTGGCAAGGGGACTGTAGGAGATTCTGTAGAAAATTCCGCCTGACCGGCCTCCACCGAATCTGTGTGGCCTCGCTGCTACTAACATCTGCCTACAAGCCTATCGTCGGGAACCATATACTCACTCTGATTTCTTGGCCATTGCTTCCGATCTTGATGCTCAGGAACGTGAGTTATATGGCGATAACCCGGCTCTGCATCCCCCACAGGATAGTAATTACACTCGACATGGGGGATTCAATGTCTCTRTTTTGGAGACTGCTTTGATAAGGCGCCGGCTTGATATGTAGCGTGCCCCTTCGGGTGGCGACCCGGACCACTGTTCGCACGTTTGTGCCTATATTCTACATACTGCTGGCCACTACACCGCTCTTGTCCGTGCCTCTGGTTCTTGGGAATTATGGAATGGCGGTGCTATGGTGCAAACTATTACTGCCATCTGTGATCTCGTGCGTAATTACCCTAACCTGCAACTGCTCAAGGTGATTGACCCTATAGGTACCTCGTGTACTTCCATGCCCGCCTCTACGCCTATCTCTGTGCCTGCCTCTGTACCTCTCTCTGTGCCTGTTTCTATGTCTGTCTTCTTCCAGATTACTGACCCTATAGGTACCTCGTGTACTTTCGTCCTCGCCTCTGCACCTGTCTCTATGCCTGCCTCCGCACCTGTCTCCATGCCCGTTTCTGTGTCTGTCTCCATGCCCGTTTCTGTGTCTGTCTCCATGCCCGTTTCTGTGTCTGTCTCCATGCCCGTTTCTGTGTCTGTCTCCATGCCTGTTTCTACGTCTGTCTCCATGCCCGTTTCTGTATCTGTCTCCGTGACTACCTCCATGTCTGTCACCGTGCCTGCTTTAGTCTTCATTCCCCCGCATGCTGCACTATCACCTTGTGATCTCCTTCTTTGTGAGATCACTGACACAGTTACACTTGGTTGTGGAAAGCATCGACTTTGTCGACATCACTACAACCATATAATTTTTCGGGCCCGCTGTCGGCAGGGATGCCACCTGTATCCGGATTGTGAACATCCTCTGCATCCAGATGCAGTATGTCCCATCTGTGCCTACGGGCGCTATAGCGAATGCGCACTTAATTGTGATGGTGAACGCGCCACGATGGTCATGGCCTGCAACCGGCATGCCCTCTGCCGTGCATGCTTCAGAGGTATGGTCGATGCTAGCCGTCCTGGTTCCTGCTGTGACGAAGTTGCTTACCTSAATGGTTTTCGTCCTATAGATCAGCGGGAGGGCTGCTACCATCGCCCGCATCCTTATGATAGTTGTCCTATTTGTCGTGAGGGTCTTACTTAGACGTACCTTGCACCCTGACAAAAATGTGCAGGTGCGCTGAAACGAGTGTACAAGAATGTGCAAAGGTGGGAAACCCTTCACTAAGACTGCAAAACAATGAAGACTGCAGTAAAAGAAGAACATAAGTTTGTGTCGTTTTACTTTGTTTGTACCCTGCACCCTAGCACCCTCAAAGAAAAAGTCCGAAGGGTGAAAATGAGAATAAAAAGTGAAGAAGGAAGTGCAGGTGCGCTGAAAAATGAACGTGGTAGACTCTTCACCAAAACTGCAGAACTGTGAAAGAAAGAAGAATGCAGTAAAAGAAAGAAGATGTTTGTGTCACCCTTATTTTATTTTTATTTTTTCTCCCTCTCCCTATCGATTTTCCTTTTCTGCTCTTCTCCCCCTTGTGTTTGACACCTCTTCCTTCACTCTGCGTCTTTCCCATATCAAGATCGACATCTTGACGGCCAAGAATATTAGCACCACTAGTGCAAATACTAGTGGTGACAAACGGGAAGGCCGAAAGGAAAAGGAAAAGGAAAGAAAACTGAAGTGGGAGGCATGGGAGCAATCTGAAAAATCTCGGATCAGCCTCCCTCAAGAAAATAGAGTCAAACGAGACCCCATGTAAAAAATAGTCCTCCGGGAGAAAATCGGAGTAGGAGGGACCATTGGGGGAGAAGTGTAGGAGTAAAAGGAGGCTCCCATGGGCATGGGAAGACCATTATTGCAGTCCGAGAAATAACGGACTTTGCGCTCCGATTCACAGTGTGACAATTACTAGGCGGTCATGCTGTGCCTCTAGTGCCAGCTGCGTGTCTGGAGTGTATTTTTTGGCTGTGACAGACCTTTCTTTGTTTCGTGGATTTTTTGCTGGCTTGTGATGGGGTGTGAACCGACAGTCTGTAGAGTTTTCCATTTGGTGTGGGTGAGTGATAGTCTACTTTGATTTTGGTTAAGGTAGATTATCATTTACAGTGTAATCAGTGAGGGGATTCTGCAGATTGTTGAGGGTTCAGCCTCCTGATGAGTCGGTAAAACTCCGACGAAACAATTTGTTACAGCCCCTCGTTTGTTGTCCTCTTCTCTCTCTCTGCCTACGGTTTACCGGGCAGTTCTATTTGTGACGATATATATACTAATGAGTCGGTGAAACTCCGACGAAACTGTTTGTCACAGCCCCTCGCCCCTCGTTTGTTGTCCTCTTCTCCCTCTCTGCGTACGGTTTACCGGGTAGCTCTGTTTGACCATATATATAGTCAAACTGACTCAAACAGATATATATATATATATATGCTAGTGCCAGTGGCATGTGTGGAGTGTGTTTTTTGGCTGTGACACAGTGACAGACCTTTCTTTGTTTCGTGGGTGTTTTGCTGGCTTGTGATGGGGTGTGAACCGACAGTCTGTAGAGTTTTCCATCTGCTGTGAGTGAGTGATAGTCTGCTTTGATTTTGTAGGGCAGTGGTTGGTGCCCACCTCAAGGTATCAGTTGTCGGGCAGTCGATGCTTAACCACAGCCGAGGTTAAGGTGGATTATCACTTACAGTGTAATCAGTTAGGGGATTCTGCAGACTGTTGAGGGTTCAGCCTCCTGATCAGTCGGTGAAACTCCGACGAAACAGTTTGTCACAACCCCTCGTTCGTTGTCCTCTTCTCCCTCTCTGCCTACAGTTTACCAGGCAGCTATATATAGTTAGATAGATAGATAGATAGATAGATAGATAGAGATATATATCGTTCAAACAGAGCTGCCCGGTAAACCGTAGGCAGAGGGAGGGAGAAGAGGACAACAAACGAGGGGCTGTGACAAACTGTTTCGTCAGAGTTTCACCGACTCATCAGGAAGCTGAATGTATATATAAACAATGCCTGCAAAATGTGATCAAGAGTTTGAGCTGCTGCTTGAAAGCATGAGCTCACTTTTCGCTTCACCGTCTGCGGTAACAGTTCTGTTAGGGTCACCGGTCACAAGCGATATCAGTTCTGTTAGGGTCACTGGTCACAAGCGATAACAGTTCTGTTAGGGTCACCGGTCACAAGCGATAACAGTTCTGTTCGGGTCACCGGTCACAAGCGATAACAGTTCTGTTAGGGTCACTGGTCAGCCATCTTTTCTATACAACGGTACAAGCACAATTGTCAGTCTCGTAGTCGAAGAGGGAGTGGAGCTCAGTAGGTTGAGCCGCTGGTTTGCTTTGGTAGTCAATATTCATGTCAATTGTAAGGATGTATCTGTTCCTGGTTCGCCCTCGGGCTCTTTGAGAAAGCTCGTGATGCTCAGCGTTTTCAGAACTTTGCGGAACATCATACTGTCTTTGTCATGGAAGTGAACGGCGGCTGTGCAACCCACTTTGACGCAGTGGTCATGTCGCTGTCAGAGGTGTCCACTGGATACATGACCATGTAGGCCCGAAACGTTTCTGGGTGTACAATGTACATGCAATTGACTGCAAAATATATCCGAACAACTATTCTCGCTGCGCGCTCGGTCATGGACGATATGAACATCATAGGCTACTGGTTGCGGATTGCCTTGTTCGCATGGCCAGTGGTCAGTGACACCAACATTTACCAACCCTGTCCCTCACCGGCATTGGTAATCACGACTTCCAGTTCGATCTCCATTCCATCACCGCCATCGTCGCCGCTGCTGCTTGACCACAATAATCTCAACAAGGGGGCAGAAGAAAGGTGTAGGACCCGGAAGCAGACACAATGTCATAGGGGAGGGAACTCTTTTGTTTTTCCTCTTTTGTCTGAACTGGACTCAGCAGGAGAGGGGACTCTTTTGGTTTTCCTCTTTGTCTGAAGTGGACTCAGCAGGGGAGGTATGGCGAGTGAGGGAGGAGGACTCTTGTTTTCCCTTAAGTTTATCAACCTGAGAGCATGGAAGCATAAGACTTGGTTCATATAGTGAATAGTGGCAACTCAAAGAGAAAAGATAAGAGGCTCCAACTACTGCTGGTGAATACAGAGGGATGAGCATACCCTCACTTGGGAAAACCCTTCCTTAGGGAAAATGAAAAGGATTGGTAATTTATTTAGCGTAGTTCTGGTGCACTTCGCCTCACAAGAGGCAACCATTGGAAACCCTTAAAACCACCAGTACTTGGCCCATACATCGCCCACGGGCGTTTCCCGTTAACGCGCCGCGACTGATGGGCTTCGGCCTACCGGACCACAATTATGGCTGGAGGCGCCAGCCAAAAGAGAAACGAAACCACGCGGCGGCGGCTCGGCAAAACTTGGCGCGCAGGGCGTTTCCCGGCTCGGCCTCAATAGCTGGGCCAAGTACTGGTGGTTTAAACCACCCCACTACCTCGGATCCTGTTTTTGCCGACCCTGAATTTCACTGCGCACCGAGTTTTGCCGAGCCTGAGTTCAAGCTTCATCACGGCATTCACTTTCCAAGTAGGAGAAACACGAAACGGAAAGCAACCACACTATGGACGCGATTGCGGTTGGATACGGAATCTCCATTATGTGTGAGAGTATGCCCATCTGTGAGGGCGTTACAGAGGCGCGGTCATCATGGCAGTTTCCTTCTAAAATTGAAAAAGGGAAAGAAAAAAAGCAACCACACTATGGACGTGATTGCAGCCAGATACAGAATCTGGAGTGCTTGTGAGAGTGTGCCCTCAGTGGGGGCGTTACAGAGGAGCGGGCGTCACGGCAGCTCCTTTCAACGATGAAACACACACAAAAAAAAAAGGAACACGCTATGGACGTGATTGCAGGCAGATACAGAATCAGGGGTGTGTGTGAGAGTATGCCCTCCGTGCGTGAGTTGTCAGCAATCCGTGGAAAGCGCCCCGCCTCTCTGGCAGGGCAGTAAAAAGAAGAGATTCAAGAGAGAAGAACAAAAAAAAAAAAAAAAAAAAAATCTGAAACTAGCCATTAATATTCTTTCCCTCCAAAAAAATCACTTGGCATGGATGATACAATGTGGGTTGGGTGGTACAGCGTCAGGTGGGTCATGCCATGTGCACTGGGGATGTGGGTTGGACAGCAGTGATGTAACATGTGGCTTGCCAGTGGGTGACACCCTGGGTGGGTTAGGTGGCACACCATATGGGATAGATCGTACCATGTGAACTGGGTCGTACCATGTGGACTGGGCAGTACTATGTGCCACTTGACTCCATGTATCATGCATGTATCTTTACAGACCTATTTTGTTAAAATAGACATTTTATATTTCTTGAACGAAATTGAAACCCAGTTACTTGGCCACAAAAAATGCCCACGGTTTTGGCTCCTAAGGGTCCAGCAGCTTTCTGAACTTCAGCCAAGTCAAAAGTTTTTGCTCCTGAGGCAAAAGTTCTAGCTCCTAAGGCTCCAGTGTTTTAGCTCCTAAGGGTTTAAATTAGCTCCTAAGGGCCCAAAAAACACTGGACCCCCTTGATGTTCTGAACTTCAGCTTTTATGAACTTCAGCTAAGTCAAAAGTTTTAGCTCTTAAGTTCTAGCTCCTAAGGCTCCAGTGCTCCTAAGGGTTTAACTCCTAAGGGTTTAGCTCCTAAGGGCCCAAAAACCACTGGACCCCCTTGATGTTCTGAACGTCAGCTAAGTCCACAGGGAACACAGCCGAGAACACAGCTGTGGACACAGGCCCACGGGGAACCACCAGAAGACTAAGTTGTGTCTCCCCCTCCCTCCCTTCTTATAGCGATGGCTGAGAGGGAGTCGATTCGATGAACTCTTCTAGAGACCCATCCCGTAACGTTTCCATGCACCTACACAGAGGTGACGTAAAAGGGCAGTCCCGACCTTGAACCCCTGCATTCCTACGGCGCATCCCAGGGTTAGGTCGGCCTTGCCATACGGTTAGTCGCAGCTACAATCTGCCGATCATGGGATAATTTTAAATGAACCCTCTTGGTACTGCAATTCACCAGCTCAAGGGTGTACCAACTGCGCTAGGCCTGTCGGTGACGCAGAGCAGCATTTTAATTTTTAACGCATCACTCAGAGTTGAGTGCAGGATATGATGTCCCCAGTTTGAAGGTCAGACGGCCGTCGTACCGACAAATCACCCGAATAGAACGCCCGGTTATTATAGCTGCATTTGGCACAACTTTCAGTTCAGATGCAGCGATAATCACCTGGGCGTTTTATTCGCCAACACGGTAGGTCAAATATGGACAGAGCGTCTGGGTGCAGAACACAATGAACTGGAGAGACGACCAGGACCCCATCGTCTCCAATCCCGACATCAGGTTCGGCAGGGTCGGTAGCATGCAGTTGGTGGTTGCCTACGTAAAATGCTGTCAGTGAATGAATGGTTGAGCGAGCACAGATTCTGAAGCAGAGAGAGAAGAAGTAGACTTGAAGGAACCCCATGCTATATGTGAGGAGGGAGGGTAAGTTTGAAGTTTGGACCCCCAGCCACTGCCTCCTGGATTGTTCAATGACCAGGCAGTTGTGGGATATGACTCATTGCCAGAGGTCAGCCAGGCCTGGCCCTAGACCAAACCAGACGTCGAATGAAATCAAATAATTCGGAATCACTGTGGAGCTGGTCAGTTCCACAGTGATATCCCAAGGCCGGTGCCCTTTTTTCTTTTCAAAATTTGGCAAAAAAAAGGAAAACAAAATGGCTCTCTCCTGTTACCTTCCATGCCCATCCTATTGGGTGTCACTTTCATATCAGTTTGACAGGTTACTTTCATATATCATTAGTTCGTCCTGGAACTGGGGCCAAATCCAGACAGAATTACTCTTTCCCCCTTTAAAAAAAAAAGAAAAAAAGAAAGGGCGACGGCGTTGAGATATCGACATTGAACTGACAGGCCCTAGGTAATTCGGAAATTAATAAATTATATATTTTGTTCTGTTCAACTTCATCTTGATGACAGCTGGATTCGAACCTGGGTCTGTATTCGAACTTGGGGTATCTATATCAACAGTGCTGTTCAGCTATGATTGCATCTGGACTCGAACTTGGGTCTGATTCATATTTCAACAGTTCATGGGTGTACCAACTGAGAATCCCTGGGAAGGCTAGTGGTGCCTGCTCTTACCAGCACCCCTAGCATCCACTCGGGTTCTTAAAAAAAAAAAAAAAAACGAAAAATTTGTAAACAAAAAAGTTCATGGGCTTACCAACTGAGCTACCTTCTTCCCCCGAATACAACGTACGGTCACTATAGCCGTATTTGGGGCATCTTTCAGTCTAGATACAGATATAATGACCGTACGTTGTATTCGGGGGAAGAAGGTAGGTTTGCTGGTAATAGGAATATCTGAAAATAGTTCAAAAAACTCCTCACCCATATTTTACCATTTCACCGAAGTTTCCTCACGACGCGCCGCTGAATAACTGTTTAATTTCAATACCATATTTTTGAAAACAAAGTTGTGCCGCCGCATGGGAGCCTTTGCTTCTTCCCTTCCGAGCCCGTCGGTGGAGAGAAGTCCTCTAAGACTTGGAACCACTCTCAGATTTTTTTATTTCTATCAGCGTCCGTCTTTGCTGCCCTTGGCTCACCTCCTCTCCCCCTTTTGTCTTTCATGTTGGAGAGGTTGATGGTGAGTAGGTAACCCATTCTCTGTGTGAACTAGACATAGACTAAGTGAGATATGTGGTTCCATACACGGGTAGGTCGCCAGTTTTCCTTGTATTTTTTTCGTAACCCGTACCCGTGTGTGTGAGCTAGACGGAGTGAGATCTGTGGTTTCATAAACGGGTAGCTCACCTGTTTTCCTTGTATTTTTTTTTTGTGTGTTTGTTCCCTGCAGGGAAGAGGACATTCTGATGGCAGAGGAGTTTCTTGCAGCAGGATATGTGATCCCAAGGCCGCTATGGGAAGCATGCAAGTAAGACCCTTGAAATTGCAGCAAGGAGTTCCCTTCCTTACCTCCTGGTTGTGCGTCTGCAGATGCAAAGAGAGTGATGACGGTGGAAAGAAACAAATTTAACACATGCATCAAATGGAATGGCGAAATAGCAAAATTATAGCAAAACAGTTAAAAAAATCAGATGTCGGCAAAGTGTTTGGAACAGCATATTATGGGGTGACAGTCCTTGAAAGAGCCTGGAGGCTGCTACCGGGCTTTGCCCAGAGAACTGGGGAAGCGTTTAGTATATCATGCAGAGTTTTTAGTGAATACGGTCCACGAGACAAAGAAGGGGAGGGTATCATTTCAAGGCTATAAAGGGGAACAAAGAAGGGGAGAGTATCATTTCAAGGCTGTAAAGGGGACCAATATCTACGTCAGATCGCTACAGAAGACAGAGCTGTGGATAACTACATCCACCATTGCTTCCGGTTTCACTCCTTTTGACTTATCGACACCTGGGGTACCTTCTTTCTCTTAGTTATTAACAAAAGCGCACTTCCTAACCAGCGCATTTATTATTATTTTTGGAAAGGATCAATCGCATCCTATTCTACTTACCCTTACATTCTTAATGTTGTGCCTCACACTCTCTAACTAATACATCACTTAATTGAAAAGAGTAAAGAAAAAATGCCCATCTCTGTCAATGAAGTCAAATCATAGTACTTGCAACCGCACCGGGCGCTGTACCGTCCGGTGCGCCGCACGGTGTGCAGCGCGGCACCTTCTCGTGCGCCGTACCAGCGGCAGTTTCCCTTTTTTGGGGTTTTGCTGTTTTTTGTAGATATAGAACAGTGCAACACCATGTCTTTGTTAAACCCAAAGACTGCAACTGGTTAAGTATACATTATTCCGCGAGTGATGAGTTAACCCGGCCGGCGTACCCATATGCTGGAAAAATCCGTGTGACTGTCTGACGAATTAAAAAAAAAAAAAAAAAAAGAACAGTGCAACACCTAAGGATTTGATCTTTTTCAAGAGTACAGTCGTACAGATTTTTCTTTACATCCAATTGGGCATGAGAAATAGCCTCAAAAAGGTGTCTGGGACATTCGTCTCGACTTTAGGTAGCAGCATTACCCTCTGACTAGGTTTTTTTTTTTGTCCCCCGTCCCACAACAAATCTTGAAAGGGGACGCAGGTGACCGTTGACCCAGCCATGCGACCCCTTCTGTCTTTTTTGAGTGAATATGTCCCCCGTCCGCCGCACCGTGCGGGTCCGCTCGCTTGCCAAACGTGCGGAATTTTCCGCACGGCGCCCTCTTGCATGTGTGCGTCAAATTGAATTGTATGTCACTGGTTTGCTCAAGTGCTGACTCTTCGCTTCTAAATCACATTACTGTGGGCAGGGAATGGCGTGCAAAGCACAATACGCAGGGTTTCTTAGGGTTGCCTCAAAAGTGCACAGCCAGCGGCAGGTCTGGAAAGGTTGCTACGACCCAGACTGAGTGTGAACCATCCCCATCTCCTGCAAAAAGCAAAGGCGAAAGAGGGTGTAAAAAGAAGATGCGCAAAGCTGAGAGAGAGCTGATGGCGAAAAAAGGCAAGGCAGACGAAGGGGCAACGGGAACCATTCGTCACTTGTCAGGTGAAGGAAGTCAAGCAACACCTCCCAAGCCAGCAAACACAGTAACTGTTGCGAGCCAGAAGAACAAGGACCGCAAAGGCAAGCAGAAAGCAATCTCTTTATCTGTTGAACAGGATCAAGGAAGCCAGCAGGAACTTGCCGAACCGCCTCCTCAGCTGCACACAAGTCAAGTTCAGCCTGCTAGTGCGGAGCTCCAGCAGGGCTCCTTCAGGTCCAAGGACTTGCCTGCCATATCTTGCACTGCAGAACCGTCAAGGAGCATTACTCGTCTGGATGAAAAATCAAGTCTCCTCATGGAAATTTTTGGCCCCAATCCACTGCGCAGGGCCCTGCTTGGCGAGTCGGAGGATGTGAGCTCGACAAATAATGCTAGTGGGGACACCGTGGGCAATATTGTACTTGCTCCAAATCAGAAGGGACCGGAAGAGAGAAACGAGACACCTGAGTGTGAAGAGCACAGTCCTGATCAGCAAGATACTGATGAGGATGACTGGCCTCGGTGTGGACGGCGCAATTGGTCAATGCACCCAGATGGTATGGAGGCGAAGTTCTCCAGTTACCTCGATCCAAGGAGGGGCTTTTACTCTGAAGGTACCACAACACCCTTATCATTTTCAGTGTAGCACCCTTGATGCTTTGAGCCACTGCTTGCTTGTAGCAAAATGGGTATGAAGAAATCTGAGTGTGGGCGGTGCCATGTCAATTCTGACCGTTCACGGATGGGTCCTACTGTTCCTGTTCCTGTTCTGTTACCTTTTGTGCAATGGACCAATGATTGGTCTCAATGTTCAGCAAAAACAAGGGACATTTTATAGGAACCAAAGCAGCAAATAACAGTGAGGGCCAGGTCTGATTGTTGTTGAGGTGGGAGCCAAGAACTGTGGTACGAGGCCGCTCTGCAAACAGCGACCACCAGATTGACCAAACCAACAAATAACAGTGAGGGGCAGGTCGGATTGTCGTTGAGCTGGGAGCCAAGAGCTGTGGCATGAGGCCACTGCACGAACGGCAACCGTCAGAGTGAAGACCACGTTGAACTTTCTAAAACTACCGAGGCCATCCTAGTGGAGCAGTGAATCACGTCTCAAGTTTGTGGTCAGAGGGTGAAACACAGAAAAGGGGTGGAAGAGGTGAAAAGGGCCGAAAAAGGGGTTGAGGAAGGTGAGCGGTTAAAAATTTGAGGTGCTGAGGGACCATTTACTCCGCCAACACTTGACAAAGTGCACAGTATACCGAGTGGGCTATATGGCCCTATAGGCCGTTTGACCAGGTTCTTAGTCGTCCCAAGCCGTTGTTGTTGTTGTTGTTGTTGTTGTTGTTGTTGTTGTTGTCGTCGTCGTCATCGTCGTTGTCGTCGTTGTTCTCGTCATTGTTGTCGCTCTCCGTGGTTATCGCCGTGGTTGTCGTCGCTGTTGTCGTCACTGTTGGTGTCACTGTTGTCGTCGTCGTTATTGTCGTTGTGGTTGTCGTTATCGTCGTTGTTGTTGTCAATGTTGTTGTCGTCGTTGTTCGCGTCATTGTTCTCGTCATTGTTGTCACTGTCCGTGGTTATCGCCGTGGTTATCGCCGTGGTTGTCGTTTCTGTTGTCGTCACTGTTGTCGTCGTCATTATCGTCATTGTCGTTGTCAAAGTTGTTGTCGTCGTTGTTCACGTCGTTGTTCTCGTCATTGTTGTTGCTGTCCGTGGTTATCGCCGTGGTTATCACTGTGGTTGTTGTCGCTGTTGTCGTTGTCGTTGACATCATCGTCATTGTTGACATCGTTGTCGTCGTTGTTCTCATCAACGTTGTCATTGTTGGTGGCCGTGGTGGTGGTGGTGGTGGTGGTGCTGCTGCTGCTGCTGGAGTCATTGTTGTTGTCGTTGCTGTTGGTGGTGGTGGTGCTGCTGCTGCTGCGGCGGCGGCGACGGCGGCTGCTGCTGCTGCTGCTGCTGCTGCTGGTGTTCGTGTTGATGGTAGTGGTGTTGGTGGAGTTGGCATTGCCGTTGTTCCTGGCGTTGTTGGTAGTGTTGGTGTTGTTGTTGTTGTTGGTGGTGGTGGTGGTGGTGTTGGTGGTGGTGATGGTGTTGGTGTTGGTGTTGGTGTTTGTGTGGTTGTTGGTGTAGTTGCAGTTGCAGTTGGTGTTCGTGTTCGGGTTGCTTGTGATTGGTGTCAGGGTTGGTGGTGGTGGTGGTTGGCCTTGGTGGTGGTGGTGGTGGTGGTGGTGGTGGTGGTGGTCATCATGGTGTCGGTTGTTTGTTGTTGGTTGTTGGTTGTTGGTTGTTGGTTGTTGGTTGTTAGTTGTTGGTGGTGTTGGTTGCTGGTGGTTGCTGGTGGTTGCTGGTTGTTCTTGTTCTTGTTCTTCTTCTTGTTCTTCTTCTTCTTCTTCTTCTTCTTCTTCTTCTTCTTCTTCTTCTTCTTCTTCTTGGTTGTATTTGGTTATTGTTGGTTGTTGTTGGTTCTTCTTCTTCTTCTTCTTCTTCTTCTTCTTCTTCTTCTTCTTCTTCTTCTTCCTCCTCCTCCTCCTACCGTCAGTCTGTTCTATCGGATTTGAGTCTTCGGTTGTGTCACATTACATCAGTTCCTTATATTGGCTATCTTTGGACTTCCATTGCCTACAATTTACTCTGGGCATGCATGACCTCCCCTCTTCATTTCTCCATTCAAACTTCAAACCTATTTGCTACATAGAAATCAAAAGAATGTTCTGTGGCTTCATCCTCTAACTCCCAACCTTTGGCTGTCTTGGTTGTTTGCCGTTAAAACCTTTTGTCAGAGGACTTGCGCAAAGGATGGAATAGGGGTGCTGTGGATTTCGTCAAAAAGAGTAAGTACTATGCTTTGCTGCATCTATGTGGACATGACCCTGAAAATACTTGGAATGGAAAGTGAAGTTAGTGAACTTTGATTATCCTTTAACAAGCATAGCTGACAAAAACTGGTTTTTGTAACCAACCAGAGTGCACACATCTGGTGTATGTACAGATCCTTAGATCTCTCTCTCTCTCTCTCTCTCTCTCTCTCTCTCTCTCTCTCTCTCTCTCTCTCTCTCTCTCTCTCTCTCTCTCTCTCTCNCTCTCTCTCTCTCTCTCTCTCTCTCTCTCTCTCTCTCTCTCTCTCTCTCTCTCTCTCTCTCTCACACACACACACACACACACACATGCACACACACACACATGCACGTGTGGTCACTTTGATTTCGAAATAGAGCCTCACGTGCAGTACTGCTATGAACTTCAGGTGTGTGCAAGTGTGAGAGAGAGACAGACAGACAGACGGACAGCCAGACAGACAGACAGAAAGAGAGAGAGAGAGAGGCAGAGACCAACACAGAGAGGGAGGCAAAATGACACACATTGTTCTCCTTTTGCCTATTCAGAACTGGTGTGCAAATTTGTGTTCTCAGCCGAAGGTTCCAGCTGCTATGCACTGCAGAGGCCTGGAAATCGGCCTGAAGGGGCTAGATCCATTTTTTTTATTTTTTTTTAAAGGCTAATTCTTCTTAGCCCGTTAAGGCTATAATTCATTTTCGCCCAACCAATTTGGTTACCTGTCAAATGTGGACAGGACAGGACGGCCTTTCAGGCCGTTTTTACTACCATTAATACCCCCCATTATAGTATTACGGGATCCCTGTAGCAGCCACATCCATGGTCAAGCCTCCAATGAGGGAACACGCGGGGTCTGCACCCGCCTGCAGGTGGGCGGTAGCTGCCAGGGGTCAGCCGCTAGCGTCAGGGACCATGCCAACTGGACCAATCCCCATGCCTCCCCTCCCATCCCCTCCCCGTACGAACATCAGCAGTCGTTGCTCAATGCCGATCGGAGTGACCAACTGCCTTTTTTTCTATGGTAAACGCAAATGTCTTAGCTCCCGTGCTTAGAGAGATCTGTTGTACACAGGCCTCAAAGAGGGCCTGCTGGCAGTAAGCAGGGCATCACCCGCATCTGCAGAATAAAGCACCTCGGCCGCTTCATCAGGCAGTTTAGCAAACAGTAACAAGTGGGTACTCTTAACCCAATTGGAACCCAATTGAAACCCAATTCCAATTGGGTTCCAATTGGGTTCCAATTGGGTTCCAATTGGCTTCATCGGGCAGTTTAGCGAACAGTAACAAGTGGGTTTTGGGTTCCAATTGGGTTCCAATTGGGTTCCGATCGGGTTCATCGGGCAGTTTAGCGAACAGTAACAAGGGGGTACTTAACCCAATTGGAACCCAATTGGGCCACCTGAAATGGCTCCTCGAGCCAACCAAGAAATCAGTAGACCTCTAAGCTCACTAATCACACGGCTGCCATGACTTGAGCTGTGCAAGAAATTCGTCAATCAAGCCGGACTGTTGGAATCCAATCAAACTGCGCTAAAGCTGGCTTCTTTTTCTTTTTTTTTTTGGGGGGG